ACAACTGAAACAAACTGCTGCAGTTTAATAAAGTTATGCCAAGTTGCCAACTGTGCGCTACTGTAAAGTTCACAAAGTACACTGTGGCTAATACGCATGCACACCGCATTAACTACAGCAGCGGCCATTCCCATATCACGTCTTTTCCACTTGCAAGTTTGTTACTTCTAATGTAAGAATATATAACAATATGCGCACACAAGCGTTTGCAGCTTTCCAGGCGCATGCAGTAGAAAACATCTCACGGTGAGAGTTTTGTTTACAGTGCAATGTAAACAAAAGATATGTTAGACGAGTTATTATTAAAATGATTATGTATGCAGATGGCAACAACAGTTATTCTAAACAACTTACCTAATATAAAGCTGAAATTTACATTAGACGTGATAACCATGAAACCATGATTAAAGGGTCGCCACAGCAGAATGAACCACCAGCTTATCCAGCAAGTTTTTACACATTGGATGCCCTTCCAGCCGCAACCCATCTCTGGGAAACATCCACACACATTCATACACTACAGACAATTTAGCCTACCCAATTCACCTGTACCGCATGTCTTTGGACTGTGGGGGAAACCAGGGCACCCAGAGGAAACCCACGCGAAGGCAGGGAAAACATGCAAACTACACACAGAAACACCAACTGAGTCAAGGTTCGAACCAGCGACCCAGCGACCTTCTTGCTGTGAGGCGACAGCACTACCTACTGCACCACTGCCTCCCCTCTTCAGATTATATAATCGTACAACCAAAATCTATCATTGTTGCATCCATAATTGTTATACAGTTCAAAGCATAACATATGAATGTGTCTGAATGTAGAAGATGCCTAATGCACTGCTTTTGTTGTGCTCTGAAATACAACGGTTGAATGTTTGTAAAAAAAATAAAGTCTATTGTACAATGCAGTGACTTTTATGTAGTTTCAAAATACAATATATTAACATTTTTAATGTAGAAAAAGCCATCGTGGGTGTCTTAAGGAGCAAAAATACAGCATATGGGCTCTTATATGCAGTTGTGTCATCACTCATATATCAAGACATATCTCTCCGGCCCTTCGTTTGGGATACTTTACATGAACTTTCCCCCATGACAAACTAATTGAATAGCCCTGACCTACAGACATGGGTGCTTTACAAATGCAGCAAACCGTCTGGGTGCAATAAAACTGTGTAATAGGATGTCCAAAATCTTTACACGCAATGACCCAGAGACTGTTTAGATGCATGTTGCTGATGAGAAGATGACTACAGTGTGATGACTGAAATGGCTTTAAACAACAACTAAATGCATTACAGAATGATACACACACACATTCACATTTCTCATGCAATACAAAAATTGAGGATTAACTCTGGGTCATGGAAACACATATGTTGATGGCTGATCAAAAACTTATTGAGAAATAGGTGAGTATTTTTCTATTTAAATAATTCAGGTTTTATGAATAATAAAATGTAAAAGCTCTTAATTGCGTAAGTTGTTTCTAATTCTTGGGTGTTTAAAGTGCATCTGATCAGCTCAACTAATCAATGACATCAACTGCTCAGACCACAAATGTACATAGATAGGAGATAGCTGTCATGGAGAAGTGTTGGTTTCCCCTTTTGATAAAAATTTACAGGGCTTGTTTCAGCTTATGGGCCATTTTACTTGCAGCAAGTGACTTGACATAAAGCTGACATGACAGTGTAGAAGACAAGAAAAATACAAAGTTACAAAAGTGTCACCATCACTGTTTAAGCTGTCAGCATCAGGCACTGCATGAATGGGCCTGATATGCTTGTAAAGCCTAAAGCGTCAGTGATTGTTTCTGAGCATGTTTCCACAGTGATTAAGCATGTGGAAAAATAGAATGGGTGCTGCCTGGATCAGTAAGGCAGCCTCTGATGGGGCGTTTGCTGGAATTAGCCTGAGCCTGCTGAAATACAAGAGACAATGACGCTGCTGATATAACAAACGTGAGCTGCCAAGACCTGACACTGGATCTGGATCACAGAGGAAAGACACTGCGTCACTTTTGGACTGTCAGATCGGGCGTAATGCAGATGTATATCCAAGCCGACACATGCAGATTATAATAAAACAATTGACTGTCATCTCTGCAATGTTTTCAGTTCATTACAAGCCAGCTAAGATGACATCATGCAGTCGTGTGAGTGGCAAGTGGGAACAGGCTATTAACTACTTCTCAAAATGAATGAGCGCAGATGTATTCAGTTACAGAAAAAGGTGTCTCTAATCATGTGGGTGTCCACTTAAGTGCAAACCACCCCGCTAACTACTACCCTCCGCAGAGGCCTGAAGCAGAGGCAGAATTTAACGTCATGACATCATGGTAGAAAGTCACAAATGAAAGGGGCCGGTTGGTCTTCTTACATTATTCAATTCTAAATGAGCACACGCACGTGCATGCTCATCGAATGAGGAACCAAGAAAAAGCTGTGAATCATTTTATAGGCCAATAAATGGTTCCATTTTCTAGAACACTAATCCAGAGGATTTTTTTATTAGGATTCTAAAAATGAACTGCTGGAACCCTAATAAAAACTGAATATATACAGAATAACCCAATAATTTATAGAAGACTGCAATTTAGAGCACTATTGGTGGAGCCACACAGCAAAGAATATATAATACTTTACAATTATGGATTGGTCAGTGCAAAAAAACAATGAACGATACATTTGGTTTAGTCCTGGCTTAATCTGTGGTCGCCACAGCAGAATGAACCGCCAACTTATTCTGCATATGTTTTACACAGTGGATATCCTTCCAGCCGCAACCCAGTACTGGGATCTATACACACTCTCATTCACACTCATACACTACAGCCAATTTAGTTTATTCAATTCATCTGTAGCGCATGTCTTTGGACTGTGGGGGAAACCAGAGCACCTGGAGGAAACCAACACGAACACAGGGAGAACATGCAAACTCCACACAGAAATGCCAACTGGCCAAGTCGAGACTCGTACCAGCGACCTTCCTGCTGTGAGGCAACAGTGCCAAGCCACTGAAGCACCTTGCTGTCCACAATACATTTATTGTATTATTTATTTATCTTTGTTCACATTAGTTAAAGAAAATACAGTTGTTCATTGCTAGCTGATGTTAACTTTGCATTAAGTAATGCCTTAGTAAATGTTGAATAACAATAAATAAAGTTGGTTCAAGAATTGCTCATTGTTTGTAAATGTTAGTAAATAAATGAGCTAATATTAACTAGATGTTCACTCTATAAAATGATAAACCGATAAACTGAAATGACTGAAGAAGAATTTATAAGATTTGTAAGAATTATATATAATATCTTAAAACACCGGAAAACTCCCAAAATTCCAGATAAAAGAATAGGTCAATATAATGACTAAAACAGCTTCGTATGAACGTTTACTTTGCAAATGACATAATGAGGAGGACAAAGCAGAGGTCCCTGTATGTATCCCAGTATGCAAAGGCTTTTAGTCTTATGTGACAATGTCTTTTTACACAATTTAAAATTACTCACCAGGTTTTTTTTTTTTATAATATTGTTCTGTCCATAGTCACCACTGTATACATCCTGTACATCCTGGCTTTACATTTAGTAAGCCTACTAGTGAACATTTGTAATATGTGTTTGTATTATTTTGTCATGCACCAGAACAAAACAATAAAATAAATTAATTCATATATATATATATATATATATATATATATATATATATATATATATATATATATATATATATATATATAGTTGAAACCAGAATTATTAGAAATATTAGTCCCCCTGTTTATTTTTCCCCAGTTTCTAAACATAATATTTTTAATAATTTTCTCTAATCACTGATTTATTTTATCTTTGCCATGATGACATTAAATAATATTTGACTAGATATTTTTATCTAATGGCTTAACTAGGTTAATTAGGTTAGGTTAACTACTAGGCAGGTTAGGGTAATTAGGCAAGTTATTGTATAGCGATGGTTTGTTCTGCAGACTATCGAAAAAATATATAGCTCAAAGGGGTTCAAAATTTTGACCTTAAAATGGCTTTTAAAAAGTTAGATTTTATTCTAGCCGAAATAAAACAAATAAGACTTTCTCCAGAAGAAAAAAATATTATAAGACATACTTTAAAAATTGCCTTGCTCTGTTAAACATTATTTGGGAAATATTTAAAAAAGAAACAAAAATTCAAAGAGGGGCTAAAAATTCTGACTATATATACGAAGCTAATATGCAAATTTTTCATCTCTGGGTGAACTTTACTTTTAAGTACTTCAGGGATTTTAGAAGTTTCATCCTTTTTGGGCAAAAGGTGGCGCTATAAAATGACAAACATGTAAATACATGCATACAACTAATTAAGTTATTGTGCATGAATTGGTCTTCACAGTTGCCATTTATCGTGTTTTCACTCTAAAAAATATACAGTAGCCTATTTATAAGATTCAGCAACTCATTTGCATGCAGATAAACACTAACCAAAAATTACTATGAGAAATATCACATCAATCACTTCCAGTGGAACAAAAACAGTAGGCTGTACTTGTCTCTAAACTACAGTTCAGATTTGATTAAAAAATAATACAAATACAAATTAAAAACTCATTCAGGTTATTTGAGCAATGAGCATTGGTTGGGCGGTTGCACGTATATTTTGTTTTTCTCAAAAAGTTCTCTAATGTGCTTCAAGAATAGCCTACAGCAGGATTTTTCAGTCGTGCAAGTTTCAGCTTTCTTTACAAAGTGAAAAACGTCTGTATATTCAAAGCGTAAACATAACGAATTTTGACAACCTTTAAAAGCAACTGCGCATTATCAGTTTAAAGCATCAGAAAACATGTCTTCGGTTGTCTCAAAAGTAGCCTACCTAGAAAGATCAGATTAGTTTCCTAAGTGAACACTAAAAATGTTGCATGTACCTTTAACGCTGAAAAAGCAGTATAATACTGCAGCCCGATAAGATTTGCGAGCGAACTAAAAATAATGTTTACTGTAACTTACCAGTTGGTGGATGCTCGCGGGTTAAGGATGTCTTCTTTAGCGGTCAGCAGAGACAGGCTGTACGTGTCCAAGTTAATCGCTCTCATCCTGATGCTGGAGTGTTTCTTGTACTCCACGAGACCAGTGCACGTCAAAACACGCTCTGTGGCCTTAGTGAATATGCAGTTCCCTTTTCCGAAGTTGCATTCAGGGTGAGTTTATCAAGCGATGAGGAGCTGGTATATGGAGAGGGTGCTCGCGAGCACCACTTGGGTATATGTGCAGAGCTGTTGAAGGTGGAGGAGAAGGAGAACACCGCCGATGTGCATCAGTCAGTCCTGCTGCTGCTGGAAAAACTTCATGAAAAGAAACCTCCAAAAGCTCCTCCTCCTCCTCCTCCTGCTGCTCTCCGGGCGAAAAACACCGAGCTGTTGCACAATTTCACTTTATCTTGGTTGATGCTAACGATAAATTCATAGCGTATTATGTAGTTATATTATAGCAACTATGAGATAGCAGTGTAATCCAGTTTTATATTCTAGACTGTTTAAATACGAGGACTCATTTGCAATGGGTTTATGGGCATTCTTTTTAGGTTAGGTCATTAGACGACCAGATGACTGTGCATGTTTTATTCTGGACTACATTGCAGCTCCTTTGTTTTTTTCACCCTTACAAGTGTAGAGATTTAATTATTTACTAACTAGTGTTAATAATGTTAATTGCATGGTTTGGAAAATGAAATAATAGGAATTTAAATCCTACATTGAACCAAAACCAAAATAATGCATTTCAATCAGAAAATTTATTTGTTAATTTTCTTTTTCGGCTTAGTCCCTTAATATCTGGGGTTGCCAGATTATATCTGGTTTTGCGCAGCGGCTGCCCTTCCAGCTGCAACCTATCTCTGAGAAACATCCACGCACACAACGGACAATTTAGCCTACCCAATTCACCTAAAGCGCATGTCCAGGAGCACCTGAAGGAAACCCACACGAATGAAGGGAAAACATGCAAACTCCACACAGAAACCCCAACTGACCCAGGCAAGGCTCAAACTAGCAACCTTCTTGTTGTGAGGTGACAGCACTACCTACTGCGCCACTATGTCACCTCAATCTGAAAATGATTGAATTTTGATGTGGCAGCCACTGTAAGTGTAAATCTTGGCATGTTCACACTTGTTGAGTTCTCTTGGTTGTTTTAGTCTGAATCAAAAAAATAAAGAAAGAAAAGTTTAAAAAGTTAAAAAACAATAAATTTGTGCACATGTGAGATGCATTATTAGTCATGAAGAGCTTAAAGTGTGTTATTTAGTATAAGAGTGGTTCTATAATTGCAGGTATTTGGTGTCCAAAGTCATAATTTCTTTCAGTTTTTTCTCATGATTATATTTGTAATTATTATTATATTTGATAGTCATATGCCATGGATCACAAGATGTTACCGGCCATAACAATATAACAAAATATGAACAAGGAAAAAGAAGAAAAGAAAAAAGTTAATGATTAATTTCATGATTTTCACATTTATGCTATATAGGAATAGGGATGTCTAGATAAACCCTTCTGTTACTGTTAAACTCTCACGTTAGTAACAACATAATTGACAAATTAAACTGTTAAATAGATCATTTTTCAATTCAATTCATCTTTATTTTTCAATTTTATATTGTGTCAAAGCAGCTTCACATAGAAGATTATAGTAAATTGAAACTGTGTAGTTCAGTTTTCAGTGTATAAGTTCAGTTCAGTTTAGCTCAGTTCAGTGTGTTTAATAATCAAAAGTTCACCCTTATTTAAATATTTTACAAAGTAATTGCACTAGAAGTCATTTTATACTCATTTTATACATAGTTTTATACGCTTACTGTCAATGTCTACAAACATAAAAAATGGCAATAGATTTAAAAAAGGCAGATTGCAACAGTACTTATAAAACTCAGTAAATGCTTTGTTAACACTTTACAATAAGGTTCATTAGTTAATGCATTTACTAACATGAACAAATCATGAACAGCACTTGTACAGCATTTATTAATCATAATTAAGCCTTTACAAATGCATTGTTAACATCCAAGTCCGTTCTTATTAACATTAGTGATTGCACCATGAGTTAACATGAACTAACAATGAACTACTGTATTTTCATTAATTAATGTTAACTAACATGAACAAATACAGTAGCGAATGTATTTTTCATTGTTTGTTCATGTTAGTAAATGCATTAATTAACATTAACTAATGAACGTTATTGTAAAGTGTAACCAATGCTTTAAAATAAACACATTTCATCAAAATAAATAAGACTTATGTTAAGACATTTACTTTATCACTTAATGTTAAGACTTCATCTCTGACAGTCCTGATTTTATATGTGCAATATCACACGAGTAGCAGTGTGATATAACTGTATATCGACAGTGGTGGAAGGTGTGCGTTGGCTCAAGGCCGCAGGCCAAGTGCCTTAGTTTCCCACCAGTGACAATATCTAGCCACACTGGTACTTGTGTGATGTTACATTTATACAACAGTTCAACGGCATAATCAATTATTTAAAAAAAGAAAATCAAACAGGTAGTCTCAAAACACTTTTGTATGAGGAACTACTTTCTTCCGTCATTCCTTGCAGCTGACGTCAGAACAGCAGAAACCATTGCTACTTCACACACATCACTTTAGAGTTAGTGTTTGAATGATTCTCTAGCATAATGTCTAAAATGATGACAAAACATGTGATTTTGCACACATTTTAAGGCTATAGGGCTCAACAGCATGAAATGCCATCAGTCTAGAGACATTTCCAGGCATTTGTCACAATAATTAACCCTGAAAAGCCAAAGCAAAGCAAACACTATTGGAAACACTACCAGACTATGGTGTGAATACAGCACTACAACATACAAAAGAGAGAGATTGAGTTAGAATGCTACTTACATGTTTTATAATGATTTGATCACCTGTAGTTTAAAATTACTAGAAGTAATTACTGTAGTTTCCTCCTCTAAGGGCTTATTATGCAGTCTCTGTCTCTGCACACTTATATCTCAGAAATCCCAAATATTTAAGATAAGCACTATCTTTATGAATAAACTGCATAGTTGCAATCTCTGACCTAAAAAAGCCTCAAAAAGTGCATTATGTTGTCCAACACCTGCACTATTTGTCGAACTGTAGTAAGTTTATCGATCTGCTGACACTCTATGTGGGCGGAGTAATACAGAAGAAGCTGTACGAGTTCTGATATTCCAGAATATCACACGGCTATCAGCCAATCAGATTCGAGAACCAGACAGAACTGTTGTATATATATATATATATATATATATATATATATATATATATATGCAACCTATGCAACCAAGTGTTGGAATAAATATTCCTGAAAGCCCATGTATACAAATGCTTCAGTTCTCATTTTTTTCCTCATGTGCACAAACAGTGTAATTCAAAATTTGTAGATATTCCCAGCTAGTTGGTGCCTAATGTTTACACATAGCCATGAATGACTAGAGTTTAGTTTGAAGTCCACAGGTCCTGCATTGAGACGCTATTGAGCTGCCAGTCTTTCATTGTGAAGGCTTCCTGTGAGCAGTCTTTGGAGCGTTTGGCAGCCAGCTGAGAAGCCGTTTACAGTGCATTGATCTCTGAAGGGACTCTTAGCTCAGCAGGGCCGATTTCATGGGAACTGAACTTGATATAGTGTCTATTTAAACTTGCTTTGTTGCTGCTGAAAATGCATTGCTCATTTTAATGCTAAACAACATTCTGCATCTAGTTGTACTACATTGTTGTTTTAGTGTCACTAGCTTACTGTTGTAGATTTTTTTTATTTTATTTTTTTTTATTAATGTATAATTTTAGTGGTTTTTATCAGAGCTGCATGGTGGCACAGTGGGTAGCATGTTTACCTCACAGCAAGAAGGTCACTGCTTTGAGCCATGGGTGGGTCAGTTGGCATTTCTGTGTGGAGTTTGCATGTTTTTCCCATGTTGGTGTGGGTTTCCTGGGTGCTCCGGTTTCCCCCACAAGCTATGCAGTACAGGTAAGCTGGGTTGGCTAAATTGTCCATAGTGTATGTGTGTAAATGAGTGTGTATGGATGTTTCCAGTGATGGGTTGCAGCTGGAAGGGCATCTGCTGCGTAAAAACATATGCTGGATAAGTTGACTGTTCATTCCGCTGTGGCGACCCCAGATTAATAAAATAAATAAATAAAGATATATAAAAGAAAATAAAAAAAAATGAATGAATGTTTTTTTTTTTCAGTCGAATTAAACTAAATATTAACAAGAAAAGCTATATGGCAACTAGCTGAAATAAAATAAGCTTTTTGGTAAAACATGTTTTTTATATTCAATAGTTTTCAATTTTAATTACCAACACTCTTAAAAATAAAGTTTCTTTATTAGCACTGTTGGTTCCAGGAAAAACCTTGAAACTTTATGGAATTATTAATATCTTCATCAAATCAAGATCTTTCAAGAATATTTCACTAAAAGGCTTTTAGAATTTTTTTTAATTGGTTTGGTACTAGTAAAGTGTACATTTTCAAATTTAGTACAAAATTTTTTATCTCATCACACTTGTAACAACATAAACATCTATGGACACAATAAATGATTATTTGATTAAAAAAATGATAATCAGTTGAATTAAATGACAGACAAATTTATTAAAGTGAATGACAAGTTTGATTGTGATAGTTTTATAAAGGGCAGTTACTGTGAATGAAGCATTTATTTAGATTAAACTTATTTTGTGTAGTAAAATGATAATTTGTGTGTTATGTGTATTGTTCTAACAACTAAAAAATATGCTGAAATGTTTGAAAAAAGTGCACTTTTGATGATTTGTGTTGATATAAGAGCTAAGAGTTTTGAAAATATAGGGATTACTTGTGAAAATTGGGCCAAACCAATTAAAATAAACTAATGGAACACAAAATCGTTCTTCTATAGCATCACTGCAAATAAAATCTCTCTTTTGACTATGAGAGTGTATAACAACTCTGCTGCACACAGACACTTTTAAAACACAGACAAAAATTAATGTTTTATGCTATTTATGTTATCTGGTAGTATAGCTGGCCTTTTCTGTTGTTAGCGTTTCATATCTCTTTCTTGGTAACCACTTTAAGACTACACAGAATCAGAAGATTTCTCAAAATGATAAGAAAGGCTTAAAAGTAGGTTAAAACAGCATCACTGACCACATGAGAAGTAGTTTAGACTTCACACCGAGTTCCTCCTTACTGACATCATTTCAAATATGCACTCTTAGGAATCAGGATTACACACACACACACACACACACACACACACACACACACACACACACACACACACACACACACACACACACACACACACA